AGCAGCGGCGGCCTTATCCATTGCGAGGCTCTGGGCGGCAGATCTTTGCGAGGCCCTTGTCCTTTGTGCAAAGTATGTGAATTGAAATAGTAGGCACTTATTAATATTAATATATACTGTACTATAAATTAAATTTATTTTATTGTTATAACTAATAGCCAAGGATAAAATAAAAAGTTTTAAATATCAACTTTTTTCTACTTGGTTGTTGCGCGAGGCCCTCCAAGAGCGAGGCCCCGGGCGATTACCCTGCTCGCCACCCCCTAAGGCCGCCACTGCATACATGTATCTGTATCAGCAAATATCGTGGCATTGCTGTTTATACATAAAGTGCATAGAAATTAATTACGAAGATATTCTATACTCCATTCTTCATCTGTATGCAACACGAAGTTATAGTGTATAAGATAAAAACTTCAAATATTTTATTGTTAATCTAAATTAATTGAAATATCAAAGACTTATCGACCAGAATTTGATATCAGATACACAGTTTTGTTTCTCCTTGTCAATATAAATTTGGTTTTACAATCATTTACGTTATTCAATGTCTATATAAACGTGCAACAAGTTATAGAAAACACGATTTCATTTATAGCGGACTAACGAAGGGGGTGAGAACAAATATGCATCCACTGTTAAGTAAGTATTAATTTAAAGAGCTGTAAACTATTTTTATTTTATTATAGAATAATTTGATTATATCGTGTTTATTTATATTTCAGCTAATAATAAAATTTATTCTGAAAATCGGCATTCTAATTAATAGCAGTAAGTAAATCTATATTACTATACGAATAATTATTTATTGTGGATTTTTAATCATATTTTTAACTTATTTAATTTAAAATATATGCTCTTCATCTCAAATTAGTAGTGTCTTGCCTCTGTACATCGTAATTTTCCTATCAGCAATAGAGTCATGCCGGTCATCTATTAACTGCTTTCCCGGGAAAATATTTGAATTGAAATAACGTGACTTCCGGTTTGCATCGGAAGTTCGTTATTTGGTTTAGATTAAATTAACCTGCACCTAAGGTTTTCAAACCTTGTCTGTCTCNAGTGTCTTGCCTCTGTACATCGTAATTTTCCTATCAGCAATAGAGTCACGCCGGTCATCTATTAACTGCTTTCCCGGGAAAATATTTGAATTGAAATAACGTGACTTCCGGTTTGCATCGGAAGTTCGTTATTTGGTTTAGATTAAATTAACCTGCACCTAAGATTTTCAAACCTTGTCTCTTCTATTATCTAACTCCGTTCTCGATGTTAAGAAAAGACAAACGGATGACAGTGGAGAATTTATATGTACAAATTTTTCCTCTGTTATATATAACAGCCAGGAAAGTAAAAATAATTCTGTAGAATACCGAAAAGTATGAGTTATTTAAGCTATCCTAATCCTATAAACGTAAAATGTAGAATTTAATCATGATTTGTCTGCGCGTAATACGCTGTAACGATGTTTATGGTGAGGGTGAGATCATTATACTATCTCCCAGACCAATGTCAAAAATATAACCAAAATAACAGCATTTATTGGTCATATTTTTGACACTGGGATACCTCAGAAGGTGCATATTAGTATAACGTAATTTTAAATCATTCTAATCACTTTATTTTTTATCTTTACTGTATATTGAGTAAAATGTAAAATTAATTTTACTGAATTAATTTTTTTTCAATTCTTTTCAGGGATCAAATATTCATCAAGCTTAACACGTGGAAAATATATTTACCTTTAATTGTTTATGTTAATCAAGATGTTAATTTTTGATAATGTAATCGATTAATAAATAATCTCTGTTTTTTCTGATATTTGTGAAAATTTTAATTTTGTGATTTTAAAATTAGTTTAAGCAATTTAATTTCTATTCAAAACACAATTCCAACAACCGACAGATCATTAAATTAATAATAACCCAAACGTTTTCGGTCTATTCATCAGAGTTTGTATTCGTGGTAAGAACAAAATAAATATAAATTACACGGAAAATAAAAACTATATAATAATAATAACTTCTTTGTAAAGAAGATGGCCGTGGCCTTACTAATATAATTAATCTGCATTACGAACAAATTCTGGGTAATGGTCTCCTATTTGAACCGTTGACCCACGATCAAATACCAGTGTTTAGTTGTTTTATTTATTCGATCCAAAGAATGTGGGGGAAAAAATACATTTTAGAAATATTTCTGATTTCTGCCGGGTGAAGTTAGTGATAGAAAATAAATTCTATTTCAAGCCACGGAACCATCGTCAAGGTCTCACCCTTCTCCGTGGGTTTTTTGTTTGTCCAGAAACCCCGTAATGTCTAGGCAGCATCGACATTACGGGAAAAACTGGAATCGCGTCATTTCCAAAAACACAAACGTTGATGATGGATTCGAAAGTTCGTTTAAAATAATTATTGCAGATTGGAATGATGCATCATACGACCAGCGCACTGTACACTTGCTTCTGGTGGTTTGTTTACAAGCTTCTGCACTCAATCTTCTATGGCAGGTTTCTTTTGGATGCAATGTATATACTGTGTTACATTAACATATTGTATGTAGTACGTATCACATAGCGGATGAAATACTCTTAGATGCAGTTAAATTAAATCCATACCTGAAATAAAAGTGAAATTATAAGTAATCAATCAGCAATACGCTAATTATGGACTGATACTTCCCTTTTGGATGACTTGAAACCTGAAAATGAAAAGATTTCACGTTAATAATAACTCTTGCAATTATCAAAAATTGAATTTACACTTATCTTTTCGTTATGAAGGCATCACGTATCCTAAAATTTATATTGAAAGCAAGGAACACGCAATAAGAAAATCTCGTAGCGGACATTAACCTGAAGATGAATTTTCCAAATAAAAGAATTCTAACAAACAGGATTCATTGTTACTTCATATTCATTTCTAAAGCATTGTTTCAATTCAATTGTTGTTCTAATTACGCGGTTTTTAAAATAAAATTGATTAAATGTGACATATACATAAATAAATTATAATAAATATAATTGAAAATATAAATATNCGTTCTCGATGTTAAGGAAAGACAAACGGATGACAGTGGAGAATTTATATGTACAAATTTTTCCTCTGTTATATATAACAGCCAGGAAAGTAAAAATAATTCTGTAGAATACCGAAAAGTATGAGTTATTTAAGCTATCCTAAATATAATTGAAAATATAAATATTACATTGTTTTTGTGTTTTCCAATGCACGTCTTATAAATTGCGTACTATAAATTACAAGCAGTGAAGATTCACGTGATGAAGAAAACTTTGACCAGGCCGGCGCCAAATTACAAAAGAAAAACTATAGTGTCTCGAAAGAACAATGCTAATGTAATTTAATATAAAATAAATTTAAGTGTTATACAATTATATCAGAAAAAGCTGAAAAGTACTGTCAGATTTGCAATTGCGAAATAGCTACTTTGTAGATGTGGTCATATTAACATATAATCTAGGTATGTCCGATGGTTTTTATGAAACATTAAAAAATTAGGTGTAAAAAGAAAATACAGTAAAGTCTATGTAATCCAGTATAAATCGGACCGGCGGTATCGGATTACTGGATTTTACATATATGTATTGTATGTGCTGTATAGTAAAAAACACGATTGGTTCACATATTTGGGTGTCATATTATAAATTATGAAACAATTTCATCAACATTGTTCTGTCGACTTGCAACAAACAACTAGCGACCGGCAGTATACGCGTTATAAATCAGTCTCTGTTACATGCATGAACAAGCGGTAACACGAAAATTTCACTTGCGCTGTCGTGTGGGTTGTCGGATTACTGGACGAGTCGGATTGGCGAGTGACTATAGACTCCACGATAGTTTATTGTTTTAGTGTTAATTCAAAAAAAACTCTTAAAAAATAAATTATAACATTTGCGAAAAGTAATGTCGAAACGAGTGGAAAGATTGTAGCAAAAGAGATTTGAATAATCGATCAATCAATTTACATATTCGTGTGCAGAGAAGAGCCTCAAAAAAAGTCGACTCTTTTCATGTAAATTGTGTTCCTGTGATTGGAAAGAATGTGAGCAGATATGAAATTTCAATTAGTACGTGTATTTAGTTTTCAATTTATACTATTTTAAATATATTTCGTTCTGGATTTTTTAAAATTGTTTCAAGAGATTATTTATATAAAATCATTGAAAGATTTTCCAAACGTCTGAATTAATTTTGAGAAACGTTTTAATTCGGAAGCTGGAGAATAAAAAATTTTTGCTAAACTCCAGGAGTCTCCCAGCAAATCCAGGAGAGTTGGCGACTCTAGATTTTCTAAAGGGTCTTATTTATCAAGGCAATGTTATCTTGACGGCCGGATGGCCGACCCGATAAGGCAGCAGCCTACCGCTCTGTAAAAACCTGGAATCGAATCCCGACGGATCGAAAAATCCCCAGGAATTTTTCCGGGAGTAGACCGTCTGGATATGTCAGGCTCCGTCCTTCATCACCCGGCCGCCCCATTGTGGGCCAGGCCGAACCTATAGTGGGCTCGCTAAAACAGAATAACATGGCGGAAGGAGTTTAAAAAAACCTAGCTGTCTTAAAAGACAATTTCACATGTGTTACAACTGCATGCAAATGAATTGAGTTTCGCCGTAGAGCGTGCTGTACAGCAAACGCAATTTTTATAGGCCAACCAGGGACCAGTCGTCGAGTGAATAAAACCACTGAACACTGTACACAGGTGGTCGTGGTTTGGCGCCTCGTCAACAGGCTAGTCACGTGGAGTTTTCCGGGTTTTCTTCAGATTAGTAACACCTAAATAGGGTCAGTTTCCCATAAAAGACCTCCCGGGAGGTATTCCTTTCGACAGATCGCCCACATGTCGCGTTCCCATATCCAATACAACTAAACACTTTTTATATCATAGAGACGAAGAGCTTGTAGCGTCTTATATTTGTTATAATCGTCAATTCCACATCTAAATTCGAATAAAATTATTGCACTTTGTTTCTTAACTTCGTTAGAAAACACGAGTAATAACCTACGCATATTAAGAAGATATCAGCGCCAAATTTTTTCCTAGCGGCTGAATTTTAAAGTAAATTTTATTCCCGAAACTCGAAACAGCATATTCAGCACAGTATGTATACAAAATTTGATTGAGATTTGCCCAACAGTTCTGTCTACATTGAACTTTGAACACCTACTTCTTAATTAATTACGATCACTCCGAATATAATAAAAAATTTTTAAAAATTAAATCCCTCACCATCCGGCCGAAGGGCAAGAACCTTTTTCTTGTCCATCACGGGATGCAGACGGAAACGGGTCTTCGGTCACAGGACGGAGAGCCAATAATTAAAATAATAATAATAATAATAATAATAAAAGTCTTTATAAAACGTCTTATATTTTAATATAAAAATCTTTCAATCTTAAATTTTGTAATTTCGTATCCAATATTTTATTTTATTTTTGCTATTTATTTACGAAAGGTGTCGCTACTTATCATTTTAGCATTGATATTTCGATGTTTACGAAATGAATAGATATATCTGCGATTGTTAAATTTAACGTTGTCAGTCACGTAATTATAATTAAGTTCTTACGTAGATTGGAAGTCGGATAATTTTAATTTATTCATATAAAAAAAAGGTACGATTTTAATGTATCGTGTTTGATTTTAATTAAGTCGATTAATTCGAATCTAGTAATTCAATTTGAATATTCTTGGTTTTATGAAGCTGTAATAATTAGTTGGAACCCATTTTTTAATATATAAACTTGTTCTACTTTAAGTATATTTTATGATTTAATCAATAATTATTATCGGTAAATGCACTGAACGAAATGAAATCGATGGTAGAGAATACTACAATTGTTTACCTTACAATATTCTGCGTATAAACGTGATAAATTGGGTAGAAATTACCCAGTCGACCCCCCCTACAACACTGTTGTTTTTTCCGTTTTATATGAATTCCATGTTGTACGAGTCACTTAGATTTTACAAATAAGTGTGCCGGGCTGTGAACAGCTCATGTATTTGTAAAATCTAAGTGACTCGTACAACATGGAATTCATATAAAACGGAAAAATCAACAGTGTTATAGGGGGGTCGACT